TTTGCTTTTGCGAGACCTGTTTTCCTGCCCTTGTGGAGGGGAGGCAGGGAAGCACCACGGCGGCTCTGCAACATGGACTTTAAGGTTTGGAGGAGGATGTGTGGAACGGGGAAAGCGTGGGGCTGTGGTGGGGGGTGCCAGCAGCTCGGGGGTGGCTGGGCTTTGGAGGTGCTGGCCCCCCATCACCTCTCCAGAGGCTGCAGCTCCTTCTCAGCCCTTCCCAGCACCCGTGTTTCCAGGCCAGCCTTGCACGTCCCTGCTGGTGACTGGCCCTTCTTCTCCCTGGTCTCTCTGTCACACCAGGCTTAGTCACCAGGATTTTCCCACACCTCAGAATCCGTGTCCTCTGCTGCAGCTTAGAGCTGTTACATCTTGTTCAGTTCCCAGTTGCTAATTAAGGTAACTAATTCATGTTCAGTTGATAACGTCCCTTTGTTTCTGTCCCTCCTTAGCTTTCTGTTCCTTGGGTAGAATGTGGGTAGTTTGTGTAAAGCGTCCTCCTGAGCCTCTTCTTCCTGCTGGGATGGAGAGCTGAAGTCAGGCTGGATTTCCTGGAGCATGAGGAAAGGTGGGCTGCTTGAAGACATCCCCAGCATCAGGGGACTGGGGCATCTCTCTGCCAGGGAAAGGCTGAAGGACCTGGGACGGTTCACTTGGAGAAGAGCAGAGTGAGAGGGGATCCCATCGATGCTGAGCAATAGCTAAAGGGTGAGGGGCAAGAGGATGGGGCCAGACTCTTCTCAGCGGTGCCCGGGGACAGGAGAAGGGGCAATGGGCACAAACTGGAACATGGGAAATTTCATCTCAACATGAGGAGGAACTTCTTTCCACCCTTTGAGGGTGGCAGAGCCCTGGAACAGGCTGCCCACAGTGGGTGTGGGGTCTCCTTCTCTGGAGAGATTCAAAACCCACCTGGATGTGGCCTGGTCCAGCCTGCTCTGGGTTACCCTGCTCTGGGCAGAGGGTTGGAGGATATGATCTCCAAAGGTCCCTTCCAACCTCTGCCATTCTGTGATTCTCTTTTTTCTTTTAAAATGGGAAGCTGTATTAAATGGTAGACAACGAACAGGATCTAATTAAGAAGAGATCTGTACAGACCCTAATACAAAGAGGGTTTCTCCCCCAGGGTCCTCTGCAGAGCTGTGTTGGCATCAATGGGAGCCTTCACTTTCCACCAGCCCCAGGTCAAGGGCACCATCTCAGCTCCAGCTCGGGGCTGGGATGTCGGTGCCGTCGTGTGCTGGGACTCGGGAGGACACGGGGACAAGTGAGTGGAGTTTGCTGATCCTGTTTTACGGTGTTTTGGTTAGCTTAAAAATATTTTGTTGTGAGAAACTCCAGATGGATGTGAATGTTCTCAGGGGTGGAGGGAACAAGTGAAGGGAGAAAGTTAGTCATCGTCCTGGCAGGCGAGAGCCGATGAGGACAAGCGCTGAGTGATGCACACGGGCAAAAATAGCCCAAATTTCAAATGCAATGGGATGTGACCGTCAAGTTCCTCTGAGGGGAAAATACTCTGAAGTCCTTGTGCACGTCTTCACAGACGTTTTGGTGCACAGTGCAGTGCAGGAGCTTTTCGTATCGGTGGGACAAATGGAAAATGTTTGGGAAATGGAAAAAAAGAAAAGAGAAAAATACATAAGGGCTTGTTGGCCCAGAGTTACAGGAGTTGTGATGAGATTTGTATTTCAGTCCAGTCTAAACCCCCACTTTTTCAGTTTGAAAGCTAAGTCTACTGTCCATATACTAACCCATTCCAGGATTATTGAGTGATGTCCAATATTCTTTGAAAGGATTAATGTCAGAAGGGAAAAGTTATTTGTAAGGATTTTGACCTGTTTATTCATTGGTTTTGTGGATTCCTTTTCGTTAAAGCATGTGCTGAAAGAGACTTGAGACTTCAGCTCAAAGCTTGTCTTAATTATCAAAGTCATCAGAAATTGAGTGGTTACAATCTGGAAATGACCCTGAATTTCATAATCAAATCAAATTTTGGCCCCCCAAACTGTTGGGAATGTTAAGTTCTGATAGCTGATCTGCTAATTGATATCCCTGACAGGAGCTTGGCAGCTGAAGGAGCAGGGAGCCCTCATCATTTTTTGACATATCTAGACAAATTCAGTGAGATGATTAATGAAATGATGTGGATTTATCCTACTGATAAGATCCTGGGAGTGTATTGGGCAGGAGCCCTCGTCCAGCTGCTGCTGACTTGACTGAAGGGCTCCAAAGGGTGTGGGGGAGGTTTGGCTGATGCTCTTTAGCAGTTTATAGTGAAATTTGTAGAGTGGTGAAACCTGAGGTTGAATGGAAACCACCTCCTTGTTCCACTCCTGTTTTCTGCATCCCAAGCAGCACCAAGCTACTTCTTTTCTAAAAAAAACTAATATACTTTTGGGGGATGTCATGTGTCCTCTTCTTTGCCCCGGGTTCTCTTACTAAGCCTGAAATGACTTGTCAACGATGCTATGTTACTTCTGCTTTGTCCAGCAGGAACCCAGTAAGATTCTTTAAGGACAGCCCTACCTAGGGCCTTTCTTGCACCTGCACCCCCTGCTAATTCCTGCAGGGAATCTGTGTTAGCAATGGACTTTCTTTATTGCTCTGTATTTGATGATCTTAGCGCCTACAAACAGAAATTTAACGTGAATGCGGCAGTTTCCCAAAAAGTGCCCAGCGTTTCGTCAGCAGGATATTTGTGACAGGCGTGTTCTGGACGTGGTTTATCCCCATTTAAGGCTTTCATGCCTTAGGGATTGGATAGACTTGTTTTAATGGAACACTGTGTATCTCCAGTGGAAGTGTTTTTGTTTTCAAAGTCAAACAGCACATTGTGGACACATGGAAGTGTGTGGCTTTCAAAAAACAAACCAGTGTTTATGGATGCTTAAACAGCTAGCGTGGGCCAGTTGGGTGTATTTTTAGCAGCAAAGTAGAGAATTCACCATTTGATACAGGGGGGGATTAGGATTTGATGAAAATCCCAATTTCAGGTTTTGTCATTTGTTGCTTGGAGATGGAAAAGCCCTGGACTATTAAACTGCTGTGTCTCTAGCCCTGGAATAGCAAGCTAAAATCTCCTAGGAACCTGGGATCTCGTGCCACTCAACAGACAGGGGCAAACTATTGAATTGTAATTGATCCTAAGCGTGATCTTAGTCCAAAATGAAGCCAATTCCTAGTCTTTGGCCTTGTAGGCTATGGAGGAGGATTGTTGTGAGTGAAAATATATAATGAAAACTACTTTTATTATTAAAATAAAGTAATATTATTAGACAAGTAATATTATTCTTACTTTAAAGAGAATGCATGCCAGCATGATCTCTTCATCTGTTTCGTTTTGGAGGATGTGCTTACATTCTTAATTAAAATGTTACTGTTTGTAGGCATACGTGTAGTCAGAGCATAACGATAGCCCGGGATTTAACGTATGTGCAGGTTGAATTAATCACTGATTTTCAGGAGAGCAGTGCATCAGTGTCTCGGGGTGAGGAGACAACACCCTGTGTGCCGTGGTACTTTGGTTCTGGACGAAGTGTTGGTTCAGTGGCTGCGGGCACGGTGCGGTGTGTGACAATGGGATCCCTGCTCAAACACTGCTGCCTTCTGAACGTAAAAAAAAAATAAAATGTAGCGAGGAATTTTTAGCACGTTGTCATGCAGTACTCTCTGTTTCCTGGCTTGTACATTCAAGCTGTGTAATAATATTTATATACAAATGCTGACTGTGATTTTCCACCCCGGAAAAAGGAGATGTCATTTAAAAGCACTGTGCGTGATGTAAAGCAGAGATTTTTGACTTGCGTACTTGCATATGGTGTGGGTGTGTATTTTAATTGTTTAAAAAGAGATCATTTAAAAAATATAACATTCCTGCTACATAAGCACATCCTCCCAAAGTAAAGGTCATTTTGCTCTTTCGGAGTTGCTCTTGGAAGGGAGGGGAGGTGCCTCGTGTCGTCTTTCCCCCGTTCTTACCTTCTGAAACTTTCTGAAAAACATGAGGTAATTGATTGTTGGGCTGAAGCAGCTCTGAGACCGTGTTCGAGCTGGGACCCAGTAACATGAGAGCCTCAATCATGACTAAATGCGTGTTGGCACATGGAAGAGCATTTCCACCCCCCGCTCCCCCCCCGAAGAACCAGGCCATTCGATCTCCCCGGAACCGACACCTGTGTCCTGCGAACACGCAGGCTCGTTTTACTCTCTAAATGATCACATTGAGTCTCTTAAGCTTTTCTGGAGCCGGGATTCATAAACAGTTCCAAGGCAAAATTGCTGCTTTTTGGCTCCAGCCAAGGAAACTGTTCTGACATCTTGCCAGTTACCAGCACATTTCTGATCCTGGTGTCCTGGGGCCTTAGTTTTCCTGTCGAAATCTCTGCTCCTGACAATCTCGTGGTGGACTGTGCACATAGAAAATAAGGACACGCCAAGCTGAGGTGTGTACATTCATCTTCTGATCCACACTTGACCAAAGAAGGTTGGATCACAGCTTTGTTTTATCCTGCTGTGATGACAGAATCCAGATGTGAGGATCCTAAATCTTTAACTTTCCTGTTTTCCTCCTCTGTGAACTCCTTGAAGGAGGAAGGCTGTCCTTCTGGGTGCGTGGCTCCTGGTGCAGCAGGGCCCTGCACCTCTCTGGCTGCAGTAACGGAGTCATTGGGCTACAGGAGCACCTGTGCCAAGTTACAGTTCCAGATAACCAAAGAATTGTAGTTTGATTAGAGTTGGGAGGGACTTTAAAAATCGTCTCGTTCCACCCACTCTGCCATGGGCAGGGACACCTCCCAGGCTGCTCAAATCCCCAACAAAGATTGATGCTCTCTTGACAGCAAAACACAAGGGTCCAGAGAATGATAATGTATTGGAATAAACGATGGGGGACTTAAAACCCCATCTGCTGACATGCCATGAGACCTGTAGGTAAGCAAGCTCTGCTCCCTGGCCAGTGTTCCTGCTGCACCTCTGTGCTCCTGGTCTTAACTGTGGGTATTTTCCAGTTGGACATCTTCAACCCTGGAAGAGTTCTGCTGTGAAGGTACCGCTGCGATGCACACGAGTGTTCACAGAGACAGCCCAGCTCTTCCTGCGAATGGAGCGCGGCCAGTGCTTCTGGGCGGACTGTAAGTGCTTTAAGCCCTCATTAACTCTGCCCTGAGTAGAAATAGGGGTCTTTTTAGATAAGTAGTCTTCAGCCTCTGATCTCCTGGATGCTCTCTGGCCCCTCGCTGTGCAGCTGGCTGTGGAGAAGGCAGATGGTGCTCCACCGTGGTGCTGCACCTGTGAGAGGTCGGTGGCAAGGGCCAGCTCCTGATGCTGGTGGCTTTCGGCTGGGCTCTTGGATGCCTGGGGGGAGGGATGTGTTATCCACGGCAGCTGGAGCCTATTTCGGGCATTTATGGGGTTTTTTGTTGTTGTTGTACATTTAAATCACAGATACCACTTGATATAGAGTAAGTGGGATCCCTCCCTCTCTCTCCCCAAAGCCAGGAAGCAGTGCACCATTTGAAGGAGTGCAGTTGCCCTGGCCCCGAGCGCGGCTCATTTTGACAGTACTTTTGCTTTCCTTCTTTAAACTGGGGAATTCTGCATTCTGGTGATTTGTGTGACTAGATGTGTGACTTTGTCACATTAACAATCACAGCGTTTGTGTCCCCGTGCCACGGCAGGCATGCAGTTTGTGTTTGGCTTGGCTTGCCTGCGGACATCTTACAAATTTTCCATTTTGTGAAGAATAAGGACACTTTGTGCTCTCAAAACAACTTCCCTCGTTAGGCTTTGCAGTGCCTGCACGTCAGGAGCCTGCCCAGAGCTCGGACCTGCAGTGAAATGAGTGTCTCTGATGGTTCCTCACTCCTTGTGCCTGTGTATTTTCATAAGTCCCAAAATATCTAGCCAACAGTTTGTCCCGAAGCCGGTCAGTGAAGCCTTTTGGATGAGACTGATGGTCCTTGGGCACCTGCTGAGGATCTGGGTGGGAATGGTGGAACTCTGGAGAGGTGCTGGGAGGGTGGGTGAGCTGTTGCACGGCATTTTCCCAACACCAGATCATCTCCCTTCATCAACAAGGGAAAGATGGAGCAGCTGAAGTTTGGTCAACCATCACTACATTAGTCTTCTGCAGGTTGCTTGATACTGATTCCCTTTGAAATGGTGTTTTTAAAAGAAAAACGTAGAAATAGTTTTATGTGCTAGGTTCAACAGATGTTAAGAAAAATACTAATCCAGACCCACATCACAGAAATGCTCTTTAGCAGTTGGTGCAAGAGCTGCCTGTTGCTGTTGGGATGGCTGTGAGATGGACTAGATGATCTCCAAAGGTCCCTTCCAAGCCCTACAATTCTGTGTTGGGGTCAGGGTCGTGTTGTCAGTGGGGTTCATGGCATTGTTTGTGTTGGGATTCGGCCCTACAATGCTGTGTAAGCAGGGTCGTGTTGTCAGCAGGGTTCATGGCATTGTTTGTGTTGGGATTCACACTCCATGTCCTGAGATGTGTGTGTTTGTGCACCGTACAGTGCTCGGGCTCCCCTGTGTTTCAGTGTGTGTTAAGCAACTCTCCAACTTGCCTTATTTTCAAGTCTTTCCAAGTGACTGCCAGCTCTGAGCAGGCGTCTTGCTCTTGCTTGGACTTTTCCCCTGCTTTAGGTGGTTGAGAGAGAGCTTAGTTACTGGGGAGCTGCACAGAGCTCCGGCAACTCATTAATTAGCGATCAATAGGAACTGGCTGATTCTGCAATATTGCCAATACAAGTGTTCTGTTCTCTTTTGCGGAGTCAGGGCTTTTGGGAGTGCCCAGCAGTGATTGTGGTTACCCCCACGGAACGGGGCTGTGCTGACCCCCCCCCTCCCAACCACTGTGGAATCGTGTGTTGGAAAGGAGGTGGAGGTGGCACCCCCTGTGTGTCCCAGCCCAGGAGGACACCGGCAGGGATTGCCTTTCCTACTTGAATTTGGAGATGAGGAATGCAGGGAGGGGTCTGGGGAGATGGGCAGGGTCTGGCTGGGCTGGTGGGAGGCCCCCTCCTCTTGCCATTGCACCTCAGTGGGGCGTGTTGGTGCCTCTGCCAAGAAAATGAGTCTTTCTTTGGGTACTCTTTTGCTCCCTGAATAGATAGATGTATTAACTGTCCATTTCCAATGGGCTTTATCTCCGGGTGGGTGCTTTTGGCCGAAGCAATGACTGCCTGGGGGGGGAACACTGGTTTTGCACAAGCAGAATAACTCAGCTTTAAAATCCTGGGCTGGACGGGACAGCGAGAGCCAGCACTTCCTCCCCTAACACATTCAAAAGCAGTTTTAAATCGGATTAGGATTTTAACAAACACTTCATGGTTTGCTGTCAGCAGGGAGGATCAAAGCCCAGGGAGGACTCTTCAGCTGTTTGCTTTTCCTTTATGTAGAAACTTTACCGTGGCTCCCCTTAAAAAAAAAAAAAAAATCACTAAATACAATAAAAAAAAAACCTTCTCAGAAAAGAAAATTACTTGACCGCAGCCTAAAATAAAGTGCTCATTATCTGCTGATGTTTTTTTCACCATTTTCTGCTGTATTGAGTTCCCATTCAGAGGTGGTGCAGGGAACAGGGCTGTGTTCCCAGCTCCAGCTGAACTGATCCCGGGAGATCCTAAGACTGGACTATGTATATTATCAAATTAAGAGTAGTTTTTCTTCATGCCATTCAGTCAGGGGCTTATCCTGTTGGGGGAGGCTCAAGGTCCATGGCTATGATGCCCATATTTTGTTTGCAGGCTAATGCCTGTTTTCTCCTCCCCACGTGATGTGGTTGAGTTTAGAATGTGAACTAAATGCAGAATGATGGAAACATCAGTGGATGAAAACATCCACTGATGGATGTTTTGTAGGTGATGCTTTGCAGAAAATCATTAATTTGAAACGTTGGAATAGCAAAGAACATTTTCAGGCTTTTCAGGCATACCATATTGTGGAAAAGAGGCTCGGAACAGATGTACTCATAGTTTATTCCATTTATCATATTAAAAATAAAGAAAAGACAATTTCAGCTCATTTACTGCTTTATTAGTTCAAATAAACAGCTTTTCTAATCAATGTGTATGGCAAACACAATGCTTTCATAATTGGCTGTAGTGGTTCCAAACTTAATGAGACTGTCCTTGTTTATTGTCTGGTAACAAGTCAGAGAGTGGATACATTAGTCTAACCATACCCTTCTCCTATATTTTTTTTGGTGTAGGAAAGGAATGACATTTTAAAGCATTTGAGGGTTCTTTTTCCCCCTCATCCGTCGGAGAAAACGCAGCTAGAAATGAGAAGGGCTGTGCAGGAAATGTTCATGAAGGCAGGATCTAAACTACATCTAAGGGAGTCTTTTGCTCTTATTTATCTGGAGGTATTTATTGATTTTTTTTTTCCCCTTCCTTTCCAAAAATACTGATTTAATTTATGAAGTGATAGAAGAGGCTGGGAGAATAATTTTACCTATGAGAGTGCAGCATTGTCCAACTAATTGCCCAGGAAACAGAGAAAAGATCTGCTGATCTCCCCCTGCAGATGTTTCTCATCTGGAATACAGACCAATTCTAGCCATTTTTTTTTGATTACTGTTTATTTTGATGCTTTATTACACTGCCATTAGCAGGAAGGAAACAGCGCACAGAAATCCAGCAAGATGCTATTTGTACTTTGCTAACATTTATTCAGTAACAATTTGGAGTTTAACCCCTTTCTCCCCCTTCTCTTTCTACAGTTGTGAGCCCTCGCTTCCTCGGGAGCAATAAAACGTGCTGATGGGTGTATGGGCTGATATCCATCCTGGTTGGCATTCAACTGCCTGAAATTTTATAGATGCATTTAATGCTCATTTCCAGAGTGTAACTAATAAGGACCTGTTGGCTTTTTTTGCCACCTAGTGCTTCTGTCCCTGCATTACTGTGAGAGGTTGGTACGTGTGAGGAGTGAGGAACCATTTGCTGCAGCCTCCTCGGCCAGAGGCGCCTTTGGTTTGTCAGAGAAGTTTCCTTGCACGAGTGGAATAAGCTTAAACCTTCTGGTTTTTGCTCGAGAGCTACCGAGGGCTGGGGCAAACCTGGCATAGGCTGACTGGGGCGAAGCAGGCGTATATAGTACCTCTTCTTTTCGGAGTCATTGTGATTTAGATTTTAATTTTTTTAATGAAAAGTGCTGAACTTGCTGGTATTTTATGTGTTTGATAGGATGATAGGTGTTCCCACGGTCGACAGAGCTTTAGCACACAGAGCATTTTTGTCCCCTGGATTGGTAACCAGGGGTGCTCTGACACACCTAAGCTGTCATTCCATGTGATTAAAAATGTCCAGAAAATTAAATATAGGCAGAGCCAACAATTCCATGCTGCTTTATTTCTCCAGATTTCGGCTGTGGGTGTGTAAGGTGAGTGTGCCTGCATCTATCATGCACGCAGGCATTTGCACCCACTGATATACGTGTAATTTAAGGCAGTGCTGTGCTTGTATGGCTGTGGATGTGAACATGTAAGGTGAGTGTGCCTGCATCTATCATGCACGCAGGCATTTGCACCCACTGATATACGTGTAATTTAAGGCAGTGCTGTGCTTGTAGCTGAAAGTGGCAGAATCATGTCTGTATCTGAACAGGGTGGTTGTGAGAAACCCAGTCTGATGGGAGTTGTGTGTGTGTTCGTACCCAGGTGGGGTGGAAGCCCTCCTTCCCCCACGCAGGATCTGGCTTTGAGCAGACCCCGCGGTACAATGGAGCTGTTCTGCTCCAAAGGGGAGCAGGAAGGTGGGTGGATTAGGAAAAACTTTATATTGGTAATTTTTTTTCCACTGGGCCATGTCACATTCAAGTCCCACCGTTGCTTTACAGCTTACCAGGCTACTCACCCATCCCTCCCTGCGAGCAGAGGACCCGCTGTCCGTCCGTCTGTCCGTGGCTGTGGGTCCAAGGCAGGGCTCTGGTCGTGCTGGGAGGCTGCATGGGCCAGGGCTCTGTACGTGTTAGAGCAGCACCGACAGACTCCTGCAAGTGGGAAATATATTGCCTTTTGGTACCTGGCTGGGGCATCCAGACCTCCCAACATTTCATAATCCACAAATGGAAAAGTGGCACTTAAAATGAATTTATTCAGGTGGGAGCACTGTAAAAC